TATATTTATATTTATATTTATTTATCGCGATGCTATATCAGATCTGTGTATATGAAGGTATTTTGCTGGACCAAAAGACACTACGAACAACGTACTGAAGAGCATGAGAGCATGAAGATGATTCATTGTTCTTCAAGATTCAAGCTATCCCTTCCTTCAAGTTTTTGCATATATCTGGTTCGACATCTTACCAAACCAAGCCAGGGTGCATGGAGATCACACTTGCATGCTCTGGCTGCTTGGCAGAGGCAGCACGTTCAGAGCGAGCATATACAGGCGCAATCTCGGCCTCAGCAATAACAGATATCCCGACAATATAAAAAAGTACCATAGACGGGCAGAGCGAGAGGAAGGGAGTGAGAGAGAGAGAGAGAGCGAGAGAGGTGCATTTTTAGTAGCATATGGTATTCACCAAATCTCAATGATGTGCATGTTGATAGATTTCCAAACTTGTTTGGATTCGGCCTACTCACACAAAGACTTCACGGGCTAATGTATATGCAGCCACCATGCTAGAAATTGGCAAAGGATCTTGACATCCCAGCCCTTGCAATTGATTGCGGGGTAGCCATCGTCGAAGCTAAACTCCTCGACGGAAAGCACGTGGCCGTGGGANNATCGACGAGCACACTCCCGACCCAATCAGCTGCAAAGCCACGATAACAAACGTGCAGACTGTCGTCCCATATCAGCCTGTTGGAAAAACCCGGCATCGAAACAAGTGGCGAAGGGAAAGGCAGGGCCTGCATGGTGGCCATGAACTCCTGGATCATGTGCGACGTGTGTGCAGCCAAAAGCCATAACAACTCAGCCAGCGCCCAACATATCTTAGTGAACCTCACAGCTAGGGTCCTGCAGAGACTCCTCCGAGCCATGCCAGCCCGAGTCCGCAAAGTTGTTCAAGTAATGCGTTGACCCACGTGCCAGGAAGGTCTTGCAATCCGAAGGGTCAGAAGTGCTTGCAAGCCTTATCTATATCTGCGCAGAACACCAAGGGGAAAAATTGCATCAAATCCAAGTTGTTTCAAGCAAGAAAAGTATTGGGACCAAGAGGCTTGCAAATATGGCACATCCTGCAGGAATTCACTTCATACTTGGGGTCCAAATCAGAATGAGACCCTTTGTGTCCTGTTGCCACGAGCCACACCGTTGCCCTTCCAATGACGGGGACTTAGGTGCATGATGAGGCTGAGTCTGGTCACACAACTTAATGACTTAATTTTCAGCAATGAGCACAATCTCCATTCTGATGTAAGGCCACGGCAACTTGAACACCTGGGCCAACCACTTGAGGTCACCCTTCATCCCGAAGAAGCGCACATGTCGCTTCTGTCCATCAATGCTGACTGTCCTGTGGGAAATTTCGATCTGGTTCCCAAACATGGTCTCTACAGCTCAACACGAAAAAAGATGCAGCAAAGCCGAGGCACAGCCCATCCAAGTCTTCACGGATGATTTCCATGAGTTTGTCCACTGTCGTCATCGTCCGTAGCTTCCTCTGCATCGGCAGAGACACCAGCAGATGGCCAGGTATCGCACCTGACATGACTTGCGAAGGCAATGGCGTCAGGATCCAAGGTTGTCTGCATCTCACAGCAAATGGGCAACATCTAGCAAGATGTTTACACACCGTGCCAAGCCACAAAGCGCCAGGCGGGTGAGGATAGTGTCCTTATCTTGTTGTGGAGCAAATCTGAACCCCTTCTTCGTCTCTGCATCTGACATAATAGTGTTGCATGACCATATTGCTGCAAGTGCAGAAAAGCATCTCCATGATTGTGCGGGAAACTCAAGGACAGCACGAGCAGATTACGTTTCTTGAAGAATGGACCTTCATCTCCATGGAGGCGCAAGAACACATCATTGGGTCCTGCATCATCAAACCCATGCAACCACAACAACAACATCAGTCACAACATGTTCTTTGTTCTGCGTTGGCACCTGCAGAGGACAAAACCTCCCGCAGCTCCGGAACCTCTTGAACCAAATCCACTAGCCTGAGGTCACAAGCAACAACAGCAAATTCAGGAACAAAGCGATTATGGACCGTCGCTGCATTTGTTATGACAAGTGGTCCGACTCGGATACACGACTGATGACATGAAGACTTGCAACCTAAGGGCACTTGTCGGTCCGATTCAGAGCTCTTGCCGTAAACCATGTGTTTCAGCAACTTCGGGCGCTTCGTCTCCATCCATTTGAACCAGGAGCTCGGCCGAATGAAACCTAGCATCAACAGAAAAGCAAAGAGGCTAGAATATCAAAGTATTTCACGATCACCCAATCCAGCTTTCTTTCATTCTACAGAAATAGAAAACATAATGCAGCTGCGGAGCTAAATGCTTTGATTTGGAGTTTTTTTTAA